AGTAAAGGAGGCGGCGGAGAAACGGATCTCGGTCCTAGAAAGGATTAATATAGTAGAAGAATTCGAGTAAGGTTTTTATAGGCTCGATGGAGAATTTACTAGTATTACGGAAGAATTCGTCCTATATTAGAAGAAAAATCGGGGGAGAAAAGTAAATTAGTAAATATTAGAATATAAAACGGTTATAAAGGAAGCGCAGCGGAAATATTAAATATAATTTAAATACTAAATACTATCGAACTAAAAGAAATTTAATAAAATAATAATAAAAAAGAAGAGGATTATTCTAAAAGTATAGCGGGCTATATAGTATAAAAGCGTTACTAAAGCTTTAAAGAACCTAAATCGATTCTAGCTTCTAGAGAGATAAGCCCGGACCTAAAATTATTACCTAATAGATCCGCCCAAACTATTAACCCTCCAAATTAGTAAGGGGCAATAAAAATCGAAAATTATAATAGTAAGGCTAGAATCCCTACCGATCGCTTGTTCCTAAAAGTAAATATTCTAATAAAATATTTACCGGACTACATACCTGCGGGTCCCCCCCTGCAATTTACTATCTACTTACCGTCTCTAGATTGTAAGTTTCAATTGCGACGATACTAAATGAATTTATAGTCTATTAATCGTCTGTAGCTCTATACAGTAAATAAATAGCTATAGTAAATTGCTTGAACATAGTAAATTGTTTTTGGAAGTAGGAATCCTGGATTCTGGTTGGTCTAGGTCTGGGAAGATGCATTCACATATAGATAGCTGTATGTTATAGAACGGAAGTTGCGATTAACGTGTATTCGTCTACGGATTTACTTACTGCCGCCCGCCTGCCTGCCTGCCGTCTACCCCGCGTACGGTCCAGCCTAGCTGCCGCCCGGCACCCTGCACCTAGCACCCTGCACTAGCGCAAGACCTAGCCTACTCGTTAGGTCTATAAAATCGACCATCTGACTAGCGGACGGGCCACTAGTTAGGGATAGCGACTCGTATATAAACAGCGACTCGTACCGAGCGGGGTACTTACTCCACACGCATTTTAACTAGCACACGGAAGTTACCCATCCGGAGCCAATAATATTTTTTAGCAAAATATCTACATTTTTTAGCCGTATTGAATATTGCTAATTTAACTAGTATATGTACTAATACGTAAAATTATCGCTATTTTGCATGCACATAAATCTAATAATATGGATTATTTATACTAAAAATCACATTCAACCTCCTCGCAATCAGAATCCCTATACTACTCCTCCTTATTATCGTCGTTATCATTTTAAATAGCTTTATCCTTATACTCCTTATACTCCTCGTCTTCTTAATTTATCTATACTTATTGTCTATTATTAGGATACTACTAATTTGGATCCTTCTATATATTTACCGGCTTATTATCTTCAACCTCAACCGCTTTAAGATCAACTAATTCATCCTTCAATAATATAATACCCTTACTAATTAACTATAATACAATAGTATTATTTATAACCTTTTTTCTTACCTCATTAAATACCTATAAAATATATAGTTTAGAGGGATTACTAGGAAGTTGCTAGTAGAGAGGCAAAGTTATATTATTTATAGTATATTTACCCCCTAACTACTTAATTTCTTTATTTATAGCTCTTTATTTTTCGGTTTAAAAGTAGTACTAGCGGTTAACTCTCTCCTTATAGTATTTATTGATTAACCAATCTTTATTAGAAAGACGGGCATTATATAATTTAATATACTTTTAAATTATCTTTCTAAAAGTCTTAAGAACCCTTAACTGTAACCTTCTATTAATTAATTATACCTTTTATATTATAATAAAGCTATTAATCTATACCCTTAATATATTTTGCTCTTATTAAAACTCGCAATTATAAATACATTCATCTTCTTTCTTAGTAAGTATAATACGCTAGTATTCATCTATTACAGCGTATAAATAGCCGTTTCCAACAACAACAATACCGCTACACCTCAATAAGCGATTAATATTACGAGAATTATATAGTACTTCCTTAATCGCTTCCTCTTTATATTTATATTTAAGTTGAAACTCCCTTACAACTACTAAATTAAGGGTATTACTAGCCTTATCTCGCTTAGTAAGTACATATAAGACTATTAGTAATATAGTACAATTACCCTTAATTGTAGACGAAATCCGTTAATCGATATAATTATTATACTCTTTAATAGAAGGGAGGTTGAACGTTAGTATAATTGCACTTCTCCAATCTATTTAAGGGCAATCCTTTTACTTCGGTATAGAAGGCTCTAATATAGTAGGAAGTTTACTTACTATAATAGTACTATCTACAATAGGGGGACTACTTAGTATAATAACCTTATTTAATAGCTTTCCTAGTATACGAAATTATATTCTTTTTATTTTTATCCTAAGATCAATAATCCCCTACTTAGTAAAACGAATAATATACCCTCGTTTTTATTTAATATATTTATTATTTATTAACGAGGTTAACGGATTACGAAGGTTTAAAAGTATAAAATCCGGGTTAAAAGGACTCAAGCTAATATACTTCCAAGTAGAGTAGACGTTCTTAATCTTTATTACCTTCTTACGTACTATTTTCAAACTATTAAGAAAATCCAGCTTATTATAGTCAATATTATTAAAGGTTAGCTTCTTACGTATATTAATTTAATAAAAGTATTTATGGATTTGAAAAATCCTAACGTCGAGAGGTTGAAGGAAGTATATTAAATAGGGGGATAGGAGAAAGAGTATAGTATCATTCCTCCTATAGTACTTATAAAACTTAATAGTATAGTAACTACTATAGTTATTTAGTACTAAGACTCGCCTTTCCTCTTTATTGAGGGGACGAGAGTACTCTTCCTAATATTTGAATTAATTAAGCGTATACTAATTATTTATATAACTTCGTAGGGAGGTAACGATAATTATCCTATTATTAAGGGAATTATTAATGTACTTGTACATAATATTAACGCTGGGAAGTAAAACGAAGGGAAGGATAGTCCGACCAAATACAAAAATAGCCTCAAGGACAGTAACAAGAATCCTTTGGTCAGGGTTGACGGACTGCACTTCGGTTATTTCACTATAAGTCCATATATAATAGGCCTTATCTAATACGCCGACCCCAAAACTAGACTCGTCCCCATTCTATATATTATTTAGCTTAACGTTGTACTTAGTAATAGTATTATAGAAGAGATAAAAGACCTCTTCTATAGAGATAACCTCTCCACACGCACCAAAAACCTCCATATACGCACCCCTACAAAGAAAAATGGGGCGGTTCAGCTAATGACACCTAACATTAAAATCCCCGTTTTTACCCGCAAAATTTCGTCTTTTCAATATTGCACAACATCGCTCTAACTTAGTCATTTCTTTTCCCTTTTTTTCACACAGCCAGTTACACCAACACTTTGCACACAGTTGCACCAACTAGCGCCAGCACTACAATCCACACACATTTACACCAACACTCTACACTATATCTATCAATAATACCCTTAATATACGTAAAGTTATTGAATTCAATTAATTTCTATACTAATTAATCGCTACAAATGTCCTCTACTAAGCGCCCTCATTATACATCGACCTCCTTAATCTCAAGCCTCGCTTCCAACGCCTCCTCTATCAATTGCAATACAATATAGACTATACCAACGGATAACCCCCTCTTCTTAATAACTATTAAAGATTACAACGAACTTTTTACCCACTTTATTGCCTTTTACTATCGCTATCGCTTTAACATTGTAACTCAACGCACCTAAAAGCTCAAAAGGCCTAACTACAACGAAGACAACTCCATTATCAAAATCGTATACTGTTGCAACTACGCTAACCCCCGCCTACTATTAATATAAAATCCTAATATAAAGCAGCGGTCTATATTACGAAAGACTGCCCGTTATTACCTATTTAGAATCGTACTCCAAATTAAGAAGGCTATTAAGTAGAAGTATACTACCCGGGCAATAGATTTAATATATTAAAACTATACCCCGTCCTACAAATTCAAAGGTTATATTATATTTCGCTAGAAGGTATATAATAATAAGGTTAACCCGGAAGTTAATACCTTCTTAGAGAACCTCCTCTTATAATGAGACCTTACAATATAGACTATCCTTAGTATAATTAGAAGGAAATATTCTGAAATTCCCTAGATTTATAAAGACCTTAATAATATACGCTAGTATTGATACTACAATTTACAAAAGGGGTATAATAATACCCAGACGTTTATTAAAGGAATCTATAATAATTACTAGAATAGTAATTTAATATTCAAGTACGAAAAGTTTAAGGAGGATAATATATTGTACTATACGTTTTGGCTTACTAACCGCCAACGTCGAATATAAATAAAATTCCTATATACTATTTTATTCGATATAATATATAAGACTAACTATTATTACCTCCCCTTCGTATAAGGCGTTGTCCTTATACTAAAAAGAACTTCTATACCTATATTTTAAATAGTATTCAGTAATAAGAGGGAGGAGGGATTTACCTTTTTAACCCAATTAATTAGAAATACTACCGACGAATTTAAAATCCCCTACCTTATAATTACTATAATTAATAGCAACCCCTAATTTACCCGTACTATCAACCAAACCTTCCCTAATATTCAAAGATAGTAATATACATAATATATTAATTATAATATTATTAATTATCTTAAGAAGGATTAGGTACGCCCCCCCCCTCCTTTAATTAGAAGTAGAGCTAGGAGGAAGAAGAGTAGTATAATAAAGAAGATTTCGAAGACTTAAAGCGTTGTAATACCCGGGTTTTAATAATTACTAGAACTAAAGCTAAATTAGACCGCTTACTAAATAAGGTTGCTAATATACAATTAGTACTATTCTTTATATAATAATATATAATTTACTCCTCGGATATAATAGGTTTCGAGTGTACTTGGACTATTCTACAATACTAATTTAGTTACTAGTAGGATAATATTATTTTGTAAATTAGAGAAACGTTAATGCCCTATAAGAAAGAGTAAGTAAATTATTATATTAAATACTACTTTAATTAGGGATAAAAAACTATATTATTAAACGAGGCTAATAATAGTTCCTTAAAGAGCTATAGATTTTTAGTTCGTAGTAATTTAGTTAAACTATATAACGCTTGCCTTTAGTATATAAATTATTATTATAAAGTTTATATAAATAAGTTAATAAAATCTAATAGCCGTATACGTATTAAGTAGGTTAATTATAAGTAGATAGGGGAGTATCTATATAAGTTATTAGTATAAATACTTAATTTTATATATTATTAGTACTATAAACTTAAATTTATATTACCCTCTATATAGTTAGGTTACCCTAATACCCCTCTAAAACCTTATTTAAATAGTTTTAAATCTTAATATAAGCTCCCTTATATTTATAACATAGAGTTACAATTTAACGAGGGTAAAATAGTATTAGTAATTAAAGCGGCTTATTACCCCTTTTAATATTTATACTAACGTTATATAAATTATAGTTATTATCTATAGTCCGGTTACTCCCTATATTAATTCGTATATTAGGATATAGTAAATAAATACTTTAAATATAAATTAACCGCTAAAGTAGTGCTTAAAGGCCGCCTACGTAAGTAAGGGGGGCTATTTAGTAACGAGCCTGTATTTATAGTACTATTACTTGGATTAAGTAAATCTACCTAATTAGCTAGGCTAAAGGGTAAATTACATAACCTAACTACTATTCGAACTTTAATACACCGTAATTACTCCCGGTACGAGAAGGGGTTTAATATTAAGGAGTTTAATCCCTAAAATAAGGTACGTAATTGTATTGAAGTAGTTGATAGCGATAATAAAGAGGAGGAGGATAACGAACTAAATAAATACTAGAAAATAAGGGTAAGGGAGCAATTAGCGAGGGAGTAGGCGGTAAGAAAATAAGTAGCGAGGGAATTATTATTTAATAGCTCTAAACTCTCTAACCTACTAAATGTAAGCTCTAAACTATTAAATATAAGTATTTAGAGTAGAATAGAGTATAATACGACCCCCTTTAATACTACGAGAGTATTACTAGATTAGTACTATTAGATTTATTAATAAGCTTAAGATTTATAGGGTATAAACTGGGTTAATTCAGCTCAAGATATAACAAATCACGTTTTTTACAACTAAAACGATATAATTTACATAACAGCTGCTACCTGGTCTGAGGTGCGTACATAGAGGTTTTTAGTGCGTGCAGAGAGGTTATCTCCTTCTATATCTACCCTAATCTATAAGGCATTTACTCCGCGGGCACCCGGGTCGTCTTACACGGGCACCCAACCTTATACGGGCACCCGAATTAACTATTTATTTTATGTAAATTAGCGCTTACATAGTAAATTCCATAGTATTACATCTACCCCAAAAAAATGACAATAATGTCCAGTAATATAGTTTTGCATAGAGATTTCTATAGTATATAATATCTTGAACATAAGGTACTAAAGTTTATAATATTCATCTATATACTTTCTAACTACCTCTACCTACTTCGTCTTTTTAGGTACTAGTAAGCTTAATTAAACTCTCTCCCTCTTATATTTAACTACTTACTTAATTAGGAAATTCATTACTAGTACGGCTACTTTAATAGAATTTAGTACTAGCTCTAGTACTATCTCTAGCTCTAGTACTAGCTTTAGCTCTAGTACTCGAGAGGGTATCTCTAGAGACGACTACCATCGATCTAGAAATAACTATAGCTCTAACTCTAACTCTAGCGTACGTTCTAGCGTACGCTTTAGTAAGGGGGTTGGCTTTGGAGAGGGTAAGAACTCTAGTTGTAAGTCCAGCTTTAAAGAGGGACTAAAATCGATTATTAGAGAGAGTTTAAAGGGTGGGAGTCTAAGAGGTGGGAGCTCTAGAAGCGGTAGCACTATCGATTCCAATTTTAATTCTAATTTCAATTATAGACTTCTTTTTAGTATAGCTACTTAAATATAATCTAGTACTAGCTTTGGCTCTAAGCTACTTTCAAATGCTATATCCGATTTAATATTATAACTAGAAGTATTAAAACTAACCAGCTCTTATATATACTTGCGTTTAGTAGCCTTAGTAGAGTTGGGAATTAGTTTGTTAATATTATTATTCTTTTAATAAGATTTATAGCGGTATACATTCGGTTATAGACGAAGGAGGTTATTAAAATTACTCCGCTTGATATACTTAACCTTCTTACTCCCTCTCTTACTCTTTAGAATTTCTTACTCTACTACTATAGGAAGAGTATATTCGTTAAGGATAAATTTAATAGAATTTTTAGGGCGGCCTCTCTTCGTAGGTACAATGCGGGGGTTTCGAAGTCGAAGGTAGAAATTTTGAGTATCCTATTAAATTAGACTAATTAGTAATTATATATAAATAAATAGATAGATTCAACGTACAAGTAACTCCTTATAATACTAGCGAGGGTATATATAGGTAAGTTTCAGTACCTTCTTTGCAGCTACCCTATTAAAAATAATATAGCGGTATAGTAGTCTATATTGGGTAGTAATACTACAATCCTTATTGTAAAGTTTAAGAGTAGGCGGGTTTTTGCGTTGATCGGTTAGTATATATTTTTCTGTTTAGTAGTATTTATAATTAATTAATTCGAGGGTAATATAATTAATCTATAGTAGTAATATTCCTAGATACGTACGGTCGATATACTATTGTTGCTAGCGGGTTTGCTATCTTGCAATCTTCTTTTTGAAAGTCTAGTGTTAATTAGCAGCTATTTTTATAATAGTTGTAATGAGTTTGTAGATATAACTATTGCTATTAAGAAGGTAGCTCTTAATATTAAAGTTGTTTAATTTAATTAGTGATGTAATTCTAATACCGAAGTTCCTGTACTGCTTGATATAATAGTGTGCCTATTGATCCCTAATAGGTAGCTAGTTCTTCTAGATATATCGAAGAACCAGTATTTGACTCTCAAATTGCTTTTTCAACCTCTCCTAAACTATTTAGAGTTCTGGCTTAGTATTGGCATACATTATAAGCTTAAATATAGCTACAATACTATAAGGGTTATTGGTAATTTTAGTGATAGGTTGAGAGCTAGAGCTAGTAGATCGAATAGATGAATAAATCCTTTAATTAATTATATCGAAGGAAATTGGACTCTCCTATTTATTTCTGCCCTCTTTATCCTCGGAGCCCTCCTCTTCCTCAGACTCATCGTCGTTGTCGTTATTCTTCTACTTCTTCTACTTCTTTTTAGTATTAAAAAGAACGTTTTTAGTAATATAAAATAGATAGAGTTGTTGTTAGGTATTAGGGAACACTCTACCTAATACTTATTTTATTTCTTTATATTTATTTATAATAATAATAGTTGGCGAGGGTAGATTATAGCGTAATTCTAGTTCTTTAGTAGCTTTAATTAAGAAGTTAAAAGCTTCCTCTTTCTTATTGTTAATAATACTAAAGACGTAGTTAAATATAGAACTAATAAATAAGACGTTGGAGATTTAATAGAATAGATAATAAAACCGGTTAGTATTATATATATTATTAATTATCATAACTTTAAGGAACATTCTAGCTATATCTTTACAAGCTAGGAAGGTAAAGATAAGGCCTAATAATTTACTTATTATTCTCTAGATCCATCTTTTTAATATATTTAATACCGTTATCATCAAGAGATTTAATTAAAGTGCTGGTAGGGGTATAACTATTGAGGTTGCAGCGGCGAATTTTCGTTCGTACGTTATATATATCGGTTTGTATATGTACTGATCTAGGAAAATCTATTGGTACCATAGCGGTAATTTCTCGAATTTATATAATATTAAATTTAAAAGTATTATCAATCTTTTTAAATATCTCTAGCTTCATCTTACGGTACTAAGGGTACGCAAATAGATGCTAGGACTAGCCGTAGTTGTAGATTTGGAAGTTTAGGTTAAAATATAAGCGAAAGTGCTAAAGACTATCCCCCTTAGTATCTTTATTAGTAAGCGCTTTCTATTTATACCTATATTTATATAAAGCAATCTTTTAAATAGTTACTATAGACTCCCGAAGTTTACTATAGCGGTTACAGACAATATAATATCGTGTGTAGTCTTTAACAGCGGCTCTAGGCTTACTACGGCCTTATATACGGTTAATTGCAAATCTATAAAACTTTACCCATCTATTAGTAGCTTCATAGAGAGCTTCAATCGTAGCCGTGGGAGGTATAGCACTAGAAGGTAGATTGATAATTATATCCCGGTAATCGAAAAGCTTATCTTCGGGTTCGCTGTCGCTGGGGGAATCGATTAACTAACTATCATTACAATTGCGAAGTGCCTGTAATTATATTGAGGGAAGTAAACTAAGCGAATTAATAAGAATATCGCCATTATTATCGTTGAAGAAGCCTTCCCACTCCTCTTCGTCTTTGGTTGGACTAGTAGTATCGCTATCGCTATCTTCGATATAGGTGAGGTCGATCGGTTCTTTACCCGCTTCGGGATTGTAGTCGCCTCTGTAGCGGCTTCGGCTACTACTCCTCCTTCCTCGTCTTCGATTATAATATTATCCCTATTTGTATTGTTATTAACCTCTTCGTTGAGGCTACTTATTATTGTACTTGTAATTAATATTGAAGATCATTGAGATAATACTTGTAAAGGTAAAATTTAATCTGGCCGAGTACGAAATCTATATAGGTTATTTCTTACCATCGGATTATTAGTAATCGCCTCTACTATTATATATATAGTTTAGTATATTAATTTCTAGCACTTAGAATATATTTTTCCATATTGTTATATATAGACTATATATTTAAATATTTATTAATATATTATCACTTCAAGCTATAGCCGCTAGTGTTCTGGCAAAAGTATTAATTAGTATAAGGTTTACTTTATATACCGTCTATTCGTCTTCGCTATCTTTGTTTCCGTTGCTATCACCGTTTCTATTCCCATTTCTACGGTTTGGTTAGATAATGGATTTCTAGGCTTCCTATATATACTTTTCAATATATAGTCTTTACGAAGCTAGGCTGTAAATAGTAGAGGTATTATAATGGACTATTTTGTATAGTCGGTTAATATATAGCTCCCAAAGTATAAAATTGGGGAAGGGAGGGTAGTCTACCTAGATGGAAATGGCTAATATCGAATAGTAAGACTATATTCCGTCTTTACTCTTATTGTTAGGAAGACTTTTAATAGCATTTTGTATATTTCGGCCATAATACCCTTATATTTAGAATGTACTGGATCGGGCACCCTAGTTAAAATAATATTTAATACTAGTATTAAGTGGAATAAAGCCGGCCGAATTAAACTAATACCCTATTGGGTTTTATATACTATTTGGTTGCCTTTAATTGTAATAAGATTAATATCAATTTCTTACCTTATTTGTAAATACTAGTAATAATACTGTTTAATTTCGGGGTTAAATACAAAACTAGTTAAAATATTCTATTGGTTAATAATATGATCTGGGCTAATAAAGTAAAAGCGGCAGAACTTTTGACTACTTATACCTACTATACTAATATTTTAGTTCTATTGCGGTATATTACCAATATAATACAAAGTGAATACTAATACTAATATTAGCCTTCCTTCTACCTATATTATAATTATACCTTTGTTTAATACTATTAAACACCCTAATGCTTTGATTATATTATTGAAATTTAATATATATAGGCCTAGGATAATGGGAAAGATATTAGGATTTCGGGCTTGGGTATTATATAGTAGGCTAACTAGTAACTAGTAAACCCCTATAATAGATCTATATATATTGCGATATATATTAAATCTGTTAATAAAAGTTAGAACGGGATAATTAATTATGTTAAAGCCCGGGTTATTGACTTTGTCGTAATATTCCTCGAAGGTAGTACGACTGAATTCTTTAATTTCTAGGTAGGTTCGAATAGGTAGTGTGAAGGTGAGAGGATAGATTTTGAACTTTTTGTATATAGGTGCTCCTTCAATTTCGGAATCGACTTGGAATCTATTAGGGTCATCCTTGAGAACCTAGTCTATAACCCGACGTACAAGAAAATGGCCACTTTTCTAGTCGATTTCTGGCTCAGTCGTATACTTTTTAAACCGTCTTTTTTCCTTCTTTCCAATTTATACTAGTAGACTTAGGTCATCCAGAATATTTCCGTCAAAATAATCAACAATAATAGGCGTAAATTGGTCAGCCTAGTATTAAAGAATTTAGAGTTCCTTATCGAATCGAATAATTAATTCGTACCTCCCGAATATTATTTACTAACCGATTTGGTAATAAGCTCCAATACCTGGAAAATCTTTATCTATATAGTTAATATATATATATATTCGTTAACAACTAAGGTAATTTCGCCAGTATATTCGTAGACGTCAAAAGTAGAATTCTTACCTGTAACTTTAATACGGCTAATATGGATATAGTATTAAGGGTCGTCTTCTAGTAAACAATAATAGTATTTAGAGTTATTAAACTTATTATAATAATAAAAGTAAATAAAGTCTAATAGAATGATAGTTTTGCTATTATTATTAGAATTATTAATAAAATATACAAATTGACTAAATATTATACGAATTAACAATAATTAATATAGTGAAGAAAAAAATTCTATTGGATTATCGACAAAATATACTATACCTTTATATATTATTGTAGCAGTATCCGAATTAAAAAAGGCTTGGAAAAGGGAATATAGATTTATGAAATATAGGGGTTTAAGAACCGTCGATTAGTCGGTATCGTTTTAACTATCTTATTATTTTTTCCAACTAGCTAATTCAGTCTTCATCCTTAAAGTTTGTAATAGAACCTTAGCTATACGTATATCGAGTAATAGTAGTCGTCTAGCTGTGCGATTCTTTAAAGTTTTTACCTACTTTGGTAGACGTTAGATATTAATAATAGGTCCGCCGTTTTAATTATGTAATATATTTAAAATTTCGATTTATATTTTATATTACTTTTACGAATGTTTATTAATAATAATATATAAACTAAATGCTATTTAGAAGTCTATTAAATATTCGTATTAAATGTAATAATGATAGATTAATTCTAATATATTAGATATAAGGTTGCGTGTTGTAGTGCTTTGAGGAATGCTTGTTCCTAGTTCTTATCCTTAGTCGGTTTGTTCGGCTATTTAATTACTTATAAAATCTTCCTCAAATACGTACGTCTCTAATTCTTTATTGAAATCGCGTTTATTGTACTTAATATTAAGACGCAGTTGTTCTTTATCGAATTTAGTAGGTAGTATATCGTTGCTATTTATTAATTCTTTAAACCGGTTTCGAATGTCTGTGAGGTCTATGCCTTTGTAAATATTGTTTTAATTAATAATACCTATTGTAAAATTATTAGTAATATGGTTAGGTACGTTGGGGGTATATTAAATTTAATTTAGCTTTGTTATTACCCTTATTAGCACCCTCGTTATTACCCTAATCGTTAATATCCTCCCAATTATCAGTATCGTCGTTATATACTATACTTATATTAGATATAACCGTATCGTTATTGCTGTAATTAAATAGAGGGATAGAATCTAGTGATTTTAATTTTGAACATCGAGGTAGATTGGGTTATTACTATTAGTAATTTTAATATAGATAGATCTTAGGGAGGGGTATACGTTTACCGAAACCGGCTTTGAGCGGTATTAGTCTATTGATGAGACGTTCTACCTATAATGGGTTGTCGTTTTTAATTGCTCTAGTCCTGCGTTTGGGCATAGTTGGAAGTACTTAAATTAAATAGGGTAGTTAGATGTGGATTTGAATGTAAGATGGTAAAGTCTATTGCAAAGTAGAGAGTATATTGTAAAGGAGAGAGTTTGTTCAAAGTAGAGATTCGGAGTCTATTTATAAAGGGAGAGTCTATTGTAAAGGGGAGAGATTAGTATCTATATTATATAGAGAGTAAATTATATATAGAAGTCCTGGTATTTAATTTAGAAGTTTGATATATACAGATATTCAATTTATCTAAGATATTCACGGATGTTATAGTATATACCATAAACCACACTAAATAAGGCTATCCGGTATATAGATATATATATAGTCTTAAACAGCCAGACTCCACTTTCCCCTGTTAAGATTGGGGTTTAGAATGCGGATGAACCCGTACTACAGTTAGCCGCCTTCTAGACCTACCCACTCTATTGCACTACATTTATATGAATACTAGCAAACGTAAATTAATACTACAAACTATTACTATATTTATATATTATTATTAGATACCCTACTATTTTATTTAGTCTTTGAAAGCTACTTACTTGCATAGAAAGTATTGGAAGTTATTCCCTATACCTTGTGCGTTAATAATGCCCCGCTATCCAATCCTATAATATAATTTACCAATTAAAAAATAGGGCCGGTAGAGTATTAAAGACGATTGAATGTATAATACTCCGTTATTTGAACTTTCGATACTATTTACATCAGATAGTATAGACTAGAATAGAGTAAATAACTACCCTGTTGTCGTTATTCGAAGATAGTAGAATTATTGTAATTATATTTACTGGTGCTATTGCGGATAAGAACTAATTACTTCTTATACGCTATATTTTATCCTAATATTTGAAAGTATTGGTCGACGATTAGGTAAATATGTAAATCCGAACCGGCCATCTCCCCTCTCGAGCTTCCTCTCTTTCTAAACTTCTTCTTTTTCCAAATTTCCTTCCTTTAATTGGTTTATCCTTTAATTTAAACTCCGCTTCCTCTAATATCCTAGAGTTTGCGATTATTATTATTGAGTCCCCGTCCTACTTTGTATATGATTCTAGACTATTATTATTGTAAGTATTATTTTAATTTAATTATACGCCAGGACCGACTAATATTATTATTTAGATAGAGGGCTCTATAAAGAGGAAGAGAAAACCGCTTACTTTTATAGTTAATTAATAGATTAAGAGGACCGTTAGTTTTGAGGGTTACTAAAATTGCGACGATAGTAACGACGGACAGTATTATAATGACGATTATAAAGACTATAATTAATAATAGTAGATTATTAGTAGTATGCCTATTTCGCCTACTATTAGCCCTATAAAGCTAGTGTAAGCGCTGCCTATATATACGACTAGTACTTATTGATAGATTCTCAAAGTATAGGCCCAAGTAAGTTGAGATCCCGTATAATATTTGATTTTAATATATTACTAATATTCTTGATAGGGCTGACGCAATATTACTTCGCTGGCTGGACTAAGCCCTCGGATTGTAGTTAAGAAGAATTTTAAGAAAATAGTAGCTTATACCGAGTTTGCTGCGACTAATTTAACCGATCCTTTAACTAAGGGTTCCTAGGCGGTAACCCGGCGAGCTCCCCAACCCCCAACTATTGTACCCAAGGTAATATTATAAGATTATTATGGTTAATATTAATAATATTAATATTAGTAATATTAATAATAGTATTATACTTAGTTGAAATATAATATATAGTTACTATATTAGAAGATAATCTAATTCCTATAATACTAACAACCGTTTGTTGGCGATAATTGTAGTTAGTAACCGTCCCTTTTTGGTTACGGCTAATACTAATATGAACCGTCCCCCTTTGGTCGTGGTTAGTAGCCGCCTACCCCCTTTGGTTACGGTTAATATTAACTGTCCCCTCTTAGTTGTAGTTAATAATCGCCTACCTCCTTTGGTTACGGCTAATACTAACCCTCCTTTCTTGGATATGGCTAATAATCCTCCTTTGTTAGTTATAGCTAGCAACCTTCTTCTATTGGATATAGCTAGTACTAGCTATCCCCCTTTGGTTGTAATTAGTAACCGCCCCCTCCTCTTAGTTACTAACTACTCCCCCCTCTTAGTAGTAATTATAATCGTGGCTGTAGTCGTAGTTGTAGCTGTGGTCGCGGTTAGTAACCCCCCCCCCTCTCTCTCCTGGCTATTAACTACCCCCTTTACCTGGCCGTGTTAGTAGTTAATTATAAGATAAAGGTTAATTATATAACGATTAAAGTGCGGCGGCTATAAGCGATATTAGTGCGTAACAAATTCCCTTTATCGAGGGGTCCGATGAGGAAACCTAGTAATAGTAAGAACAATGTAAGTTAAATAAATTGAAAGTTTAATTATAAGATATTAAGGAATAAGTTCGAGATCTAGATCTAAGTTTCGATGAATGTAATCGGTTATATAATAAAGCCGATCGATTTGGTAATAAACTAGAATACCGAAAGGATTTAGTTTTATGAATAGTATATGAATTTGAGCAATAGAAGGCTAAGGCTACGGTTAAGCCTAGAGATTCCGAGTCCGATGACGAGCTTTTAACCCCGAGGCGGTCTAAGAAAGTAGTGGAAAATATAGTAAAGAGGGTTACAGCATTGTAAGAATTGAAGAGGATGGCAATTTTACTTTCCTTCTTCGAGAAATTCGACGATATTAAGCCGGGTAGTATAGTACTACCTCCTATCTCTAATATATTCAGCCGTACGCCTCCGTTTGTCCTTAGTAAATTTATTTTTAGTTGTATACCTCCTTTAGTCGCTATAAGCTAAGATACCGGGATATATTCGGTAATAGGTATTGAAGGCATCTTTTAGACCGCCTAATTTAATAAGGATAAAGACCTTAGCGATATTGGAGCCCCTAATTATCTTATTGCTCCTAATCGTTCTAATACTCTTAGTAGTTCCGGTAATCTTAATTATTAATCTAGCGCCCCTAGTCGTTCCGGTGCTCCTAGCTGTTAATCCGGAGCTTTTATTCGTTAATCCGGTATTCCGTTTAATAATCGTTCTAGCGCTTCCAATTATTTAGGCGCTTCCAATGCAGTGAGTAGATTCTAGGAAGTTGCTTAAGAGGAAGCTGGTCGTCCTAATTTCGAGGATCCCGAAGACGATGTTACTCACTTTAGTAATTTAAACGAGGAAAACTTTAATGAATATAATAGACCTAATCCTCCTAAGACCCCCGATAATAGCCGTAGCGGTAGTAAAAGCGCTTTAATTCGATGATGATAGAATGGTATTGACCGATTGGAAAATGCCTACCCCGAATATTTTTAAGAACCTATTTGTACTAATCTATAGGTTATTCGAGAGATTGATAATATACCACTTCGTTTAAAATATAATCCGATCGCCGATAATTATTAATATGTTGTGAATCCCAGAATTCTTAAAATTCTATTACCTAGAAATATCCTAAGAGGTATTATTGTACCGAAGGATAATCCAACTGTAATTAACGAAATTAATAAAGAAGTTCGATAGGTATTATTTCTATTTTATTATAACTAATTTTCTAGAATTATTATCAAGCGGGTATATAATTACCAAATCGATACCCGGAAGACTAGGTTCAAAATCCTTTGAAAGTATATACTAGATACCCATCGAATATTAAAGTCGTATTAATTAATTATTACTATACGATAATTCTTCCTAAATATTATTTCGGATAACCCTTATATTCTTAATTACGATTTAAATACTCCGAATCCCTAATATAAATGAGAATTCAAAAACTTAATTTCGAATTGGATCAATAAGCGTACCTTCGATTAAATATCTACATATATCGCTAAGTATATTAATTACGAGGAAACATTTAATAATAAGTAATTGCTTGCTTAGTTTTATTTAGAAATGGAACTTTGGGATATAGGTCCTATTTAGTTTCGGGTTATTAAATCCGAGCGGGCTATAAATATAAACTATTAATTAGGTAAACTATAGGTTATAAACATCTGGCAGACGAATTAGAGGAGGAGCAGCGCGAGGAACTCGCGAGGCACTCGTAAGAAGGGAACAAATCATCGACGACACTAGAATAAAAGAACAAAGGGACGGGGAGGAGACGATTGTGCTAACTACGGGTGCTAAAACCGAAGTACCGTCTATCTAACGCCTAGTTACGCCTAAAAAGCTCCTCGAGAAGCTCTATTATACGAGTCTAGTTCGCAGTAACATTGCGACGCCACTAAACCCAATTATCGTTTATAACGGGGCGGCCGGGGGTATCGACGGCCATAGGGCTACTAGGGGCAGTACTACTACTATTAGGATTGGATATAATACGTACGGGAGTAATCGCGCTACTATTAGAATTAAAAGTAATATAAACCGGGTTTATCGTATTATTAATACTAGGGCCGGAGGGAGTACGACCGTAGAAGATATCCTTTATATATAGCGTATAGTATCCCTTCCGCTGGAAGATAGTAATATTATAGTATAGAATGCGGAAAAGGTTAATAATATTATTTAGAAGACCGTTTTACGCTAAACGACCGTATATACGTTTAATAAATTATTAAATAGCGCAAATAAAAGTATTTAATTTTTAATTATATTTAGTCCAGCTACCTAATATTATAATGATAATCATAGACTAAATAATATTGTAGGCGTTATAAAGATTAATAGAAATATTTAATATATATTTACTAGTAGTATAAATATAAGTCGCAGTTTGGAAGTTAGTAATTAGGAATGAAATGTTAATTATAAAAGAAGGGCGAAAAAGAGAAGAATATAGGGCTTATAGGAAGCCGAAATAAGGTAGGTTTTACCGGTAACGATTTTACGAAAAGTATTAGGACCGGTAGGTCTCTTATTGGATTTTAGGACCGTAGCGAAATTTAAAGTATAATAGAGGTAGGGGATTTTACGGACGGTATTATACGAATTAGTATAAGGATTAGGAACGATAGAAGGGATAAGTATATTGGTTTTAGGGGATTTAAAAATCCGGATTGCTGCGAAGGATATGAGAAAATATTGCGGGCTCTAAGTAAGCCGGAACTACGAAATTAGGAGAAGCCGTAGAGCCCGGAGACGCTTCTAGGGAGGAGACCTTAGGGTCGGAGGTAAAGTTGATCGGATTGGGACGGTTGCGATTAGAGGAAATTATCTTAGATAATATTATTATAGGGAGGAAAGAAGGTAGGAAGGAGTTAGGAAGGGACGTGATACAGGATAAGTATAATAGATAGATAGACTGCCCTCCTGCCCACCAGAGATGTCTCTGGCAGGTACCGGGCCGGCACTACCGGGCAATAAAGGTTCTAAGAACCTTTGTTAACCGCCTTTGCTAAGGCAGCTATTTATAGACAGGACAGAGGCTTCTAGAAGCCTTGCAGCTACCTACTCAAAGGTAGTTGCAAGGCCGCCTCTAGCCTAACCTTAAAGAAGGTATCGCTTCCTATATAGAATACTAAATATATAGTGTTCTTCAGGATTGCTCCTAATCTCCCGCATTAAATAGTAGTTGCAATTAAACGATCGAACTGACCGCTATTATCAATGCAACTACTTTCGATTGACCGCTACGTATTACCTTTATTACTATTCAATTGAGTCGTAGTAGGCCAAATAATAGCAATCTTAATTATCCAAAGACGCGTTACCCCAATACCCATCCAATTGAGTATTACGAAACTAGATAATTGTCGCATTATCGTTACAAGAAATTCATTATTAACTCCTTTACCCCTGCCAATCTAAGTCTAGCCGAATCGTAATAGGTTAAATAAAGTAACAATAGTACTAATTCCTTACTCCGCCCTAACGAAAACTCCCTACAGAGTAGAGTAGTAGTATATTTATACTACCTAGATCCGTAAATAAAATATAATTGAATTATAATAGGTTATAAATTATAATTGATGCCAATGGTTTCTCTTGTATTTAAGACGTAGTAGGATTACGGTATCCCCTTCCCTTTATATATATAATCGAATAATGCAATAAAATAATTCACTATCTATAAATTTATAATATAATTAATAAAACTATAAATAACTCTAGTAGGCCACCCCCTCAATCTAATAAAGAAGGACCACCGCCCCAACCCAACGGGAACCTACGGATCGACCCTATTATAGTACCTATACCCGTAATAAATAATTAAGACCTTCTCTCTAATATAGAAAAACGTTATATATACAATACTAAATCTATTTTACAGTCTTTAAACTACCCTACGAACCCTCCGTTACTATTAGAGCCGGGAATCCGCGTAGGGGAAACACTAGGAGAAGGATAGGAATTTGGAATAATAGACTTTGAAGAACTACCGGAGCTAAGAGAATGGCCAAGCAATTTCGGGAATAATAAGCCAATAATAGTATATATTAGAAAGAGTATCGAACGGATACAATAGGAATTAATAAATTGGAAATCTATAGATATAGATAGAATATTAGATCGATCGGACTTAACTATATTTACTAAAACCCTTAATAATCATATGTAACAATGCGGTAGTAAACTAAATAATAATACCGTCCGCTGTAATAGATTTAGGATTAAATTTACTAATTTTAATAATAATATAAATACCCTTACTAAGAAAATTAAGAGTATTAATAGAGCGGTCAACTAAATAAGTATTAGACTTACAAACGAAATAAAAATGACTAAATTTACTGCCCTAGAGCAAATAGTTAAAAACCTAGAAATGAAACTAGGAAAGTTGACCGATAAGCTGAATATACCAAATAATTCCTAGATAAAAGGATTAGCGAAGACCTCTATCGGAAGATTCTAGGCATCGAATAATATTAACCAAAAGTAACGTAGCTATAGCAATATAGCGAACAACAATACCACTCCGGACTTCAATACGCTTTTTACGCGTACGATAGCTAGCCTTTAAACCGACCCCGCCTTTACCAACCTTATACTAAAGATTACTACCGTTTAGTAAGCCGCCTAAGCCGGAAATAACCCTCCCGATAGTACAACTATTTTAGGAAGTTCTAGCGACTCAATCGACCTATTTGCGAGAGATAATAAATTTTAATACGAAGATATAGGGTAATTTAATCCCTATTTCAAGGATCCTGACGATATTAGTATAGTTGTAGATAGAAAAAACGTAATTTATATAAATATTTTCTACTTTATAGATCGATTGAAGTCCTTTATAGAAGACCCCATTTTAGGAAGCTCTATTGAATAATAAATTGTTACTATATTTCAAACCCTCCTTACTAGACCGGCGGTTCTCTAGTAGACTAACGAGGTCACTCTAAATAAGAGGCGAGACTTGCGGGTCATAGGATTACCCAATTTACTAGACGTAATATTACAACACTTCTAGCCAGACTCTACTATAACTATACGTAAGTTTACAGAATCCACCCTACGGCTAAAATATATTATTGAAAATAAAAATGCAATGTCCGATTTTATTTGAAAGAAACTCTGTTAAGCTAAAGATATAAGTATTTTAAATAAGGATAGGGGAAATTGGTATAGAGTAATGGTTCAAATATAGTTTAGTATAGAAATCGCTATCCGTTAATACCTTAATACTCTACCCAAAAAGGGAAGCCTAATTAACTATATATTGATTATCGACGAATCTCGCGTATTGTTGTACTCGGCCGCGAAGGACCGATACCCCTATATAACTAATAAATCACTTAGCGTTCGGATTAACGATAGAAGAATTCGAAAACCCTATAGTAATTACCGAACATCGTACGACAATTATTTAAGAAATCACTACGATAACCGATCTAGAGACCGCTATAATAACCGCTCTAGAGACTACTATAGTAACCGATTTTAGGATTACTATAATGACCACTCTAAAGACCAATACGGCAGCCGTTCTAAAAAATACTACAGGGACCGTTCTAGGAATCGATAAGAGGTACGACTTAGAGAATACAATAGTACCCATACTACCTAAAACTAAGATTAATAGAAGGACTTCAAGACCGACTTCAAATATAACCGGGTCTACTTTACGGACGACAATATTTTAGACTCCCCGCTATTTCAACTAGACCTAAACTATTTTATTTACGATAGCGACTATACTTGTTAGAAATGCCTAAAATAATATAATTCGGAGATTAGTAAGAGAGCCTACATCTGCAAATGCCGCCGGACCGTGGCTACTAAGGCTGAAATTAGGAGGATCGAAGCAACTATAAGGAGTAGGTGCGGCTATTGTAACGAAGAATTCGAATTAGAGAATAAATGTTTCGC